GAGGGCAGTTTGTTTGTAAAGGCTGTGATGCATAAAGATGAGATTCTTTTTCATTAATTAAGCTGTTTTGCACATACCAGAATTCCCTCAGACCTTAGTTGGACTTTCTGGTTTTATTCCTGGGGAGTCACAAGGCACAGGGGGTACATCCTTTACAGCTCTAGAATAAAGAAGTCAGAGGTAATCTTATAAAGTAGCCTTAAAAGCGCCCCTAGTTACAGCACTTGTCTTGTGCTCACAAGGATCCAAGTTTTGGTGCCCTTTAGTAATGGTGGTGACAGGAGGCCACGTCACAAGGCACAGAGAGGAGATACGGACCAGAAGACTGGAAAGGGCAGTAGAGGTAGCCTCCATTCCTAATGTGATTGCATGACACTTCAAGTTTTTAATTTAACAGTTTTATGTGAACGTTATGGAATGATTTCTGAATTCTACTAGTTTCTCCTTAAATGTTTAGAAAATTCTTGGATAATTAGTCCATGAGTTAAGAAGTGAATATGACAGGATGTATCACTGATATTTTTTAAGTTTGAGGTTACAAATCTCAAGCTTTAAGCCCGTAAAAGGTTGTTTGGCCCAGACATGGTTCTGTACTGTAATCTCAACACTTAGGCTGAAGCAGGAGGATCACTGAAAGTTTAAGGCCACTCTGGTTACAAGTGGGTTCACTGTCAGTCTGAAGAACATAACAAGAACCTGTCTCAAAAACCAAAAAACAAAAGATTTTAAAAGCAGCGTTGAAGAGAAGAAAACTGCATTTATATTAGTACCCTAATTGTGTAGCATCCTATATTTGAAATGCTTTGAAGGGACCAAACAGTTCTTTTCAAATCAGAAAAGTGTACTTTAAAAAGCAGAAATTTTTTTAGCCCATCTCTCTGTTCCCCCAGTAAGTTTTACTTATTGCTTCCCCTACCATAAGTGCCAAAAAAGTAATGAGAATTACTTTAATACCAAAAAAGGTAACAAAATGATTTGAACATCAAATACAAAAGTAATGATAAAATATATTAATATAAAGTCTTTTGAAAATATCCTAAAATATAATTTGTCTTACTTTTGTGGTGCATTTATGTTTTGTTAACATCAAGACCTAAAAACTATATTAGTAAGTGTGTCACTTACTTCTTCATCCCAAGAACTCATAAAATAGCAGCTATCTGCCTGAGTTGTTCTCTGTCAGGTAATAATAAACAATACCGACAATGATCAAAGCCAGTGATAGTTAATTCATTTCATCTTTACCTTGATAGATGGTACATCTGCTTATGTGGGATAAGTGCCAGGGTTTTAATGCAACTTCTGTAAACAACAGATTAATGACAATTCTATTTAGTAGTATAAATTGCTCCTTAGGTGGTCCTTTTATTTCACATCACTTTCATACTGGTAGAAAGGACTTTTCTCTTCATATAGTGTTATAATTTTATCATGCTAAATATACCTGCTAGAGTTATTACTAAATAAATATAAAAGCCTTCAGTAGAATTTATTCTTCTTGGTTTTATAACAGTATTCTTGTTCCAGAGTTTATAAACTATTACCCTGAAAGCAAAAATAAGTTAAATTGACTGCATACATCATTTTCAGCTTCAATATAAATTTGAATAATAAATTTGGCAGTACTTCTTTGAGTAATAGAGAATTTGTATCTGGCAAATAGATGCCCTCCTGAGTCTTTTATAACTTCCATATAACAATTTTGCCTTCCGTTTTTCTAACATAGCACCCTGTTATCCAACAGAAACCTTGTTCTTCCGTCTGCATGGAAAGTCTTTTCCCACTCCTTTGGTAGCTTTTGATCATTTGGATTTCACCCAGTGTCTCCTTAAAGAGATCTACTTAGAGCAAACTTGTCTAATACCAAGCCACAGCCATTTCTCAGCCCTTTCCCCTGCTTCATTCTATTACAGACACAGCACTCAGCATTATCTGAAGTCACTACATTTACTTGTTCATTATCTCTAGCCCATTAGAATGCAAATTCAGACTTGAGGGGGCATGAGCCGTCCTTCACACCTACACCTAGAAGAGTGCTGTGGCCACATAGTAATTACCCTGTTGTCATGAGTCAGTGTCACAACCAGTTTAGAAGGTAGCTTAGGAGACAGGAGACTTTTGGCCTAGGTCTCTAGGCAAAAAAATATAGATGCTTATGCTCTTTCAGATGGAAATGTTACTACAGAACTACACATTCAGCACTGTAATCTTCAGATTATACACCAGAACTTGCTAGAGCCTTCTCCATGATCCTAGCTGAAGTGTTTTAGGTGAAACCTGACTTAACAAGATCATCTGCCACAAAGCCCTTTGTATAGACTTCAGGACAGGCCCTTCCTTGGCTAAACTCCACACTGTGTTGGAAATGAGCCTCCTAAGAATGTCTTACTTGAATGAATTCATCCTATTTGTACTTTTTTTGGTTTTTTTAATAATGTTTTGATAAGATTACGACGATTATAGTTAAATTAAATGTCTTATACAAAGAAAAGGATTCTATGGATAACATTTATTTTTAAATTTTTATTTTAAAGTTTTAATTATTTACACAGTAAATTTTGACAAATCTTCCAACATGATCTAGCAAAAAAGGGGAGGAGGACCCAAATTATCAATATTAGGAATGAGGAAATATTGCCACAGAGCCTACAGATAACACAAAGGTAAAAGTAGAATATTGTGAGCAGCCAGTTCATATGTGCCTGTAAGTTTGACAGCTTGGATGAAATGGACAGATATCTTAACAAACCTAACAAGAGATGAGATTTAAGTCTGAACAACCTTTGTCAAGAGGAATCAGACTTAATGTTTAAAACCTTCCCAGAAAGAAATGTTGACAGCCAGATGGCTGTACTGTTGAAATCTATTGAGCGTTTAACAAAGAGATCCTGTCAAATCTCCACAAACCCTTTCAGAAAATACAGGACAAAGGAATACTTCCTTCTCATGTTTTGAGACCAGCTTACCTCTGACAACTAAAGCTTCGCAAAAGACCTAACAAGAAAAGTAAATTATAAACCAGTTTGTCTCTTAAATAAAATACCTAACCAGATAGTGCAAATCAAATCCAGCATGGTATAAAATAATATATGATAGCTAGGTGTGGCACACACCTGTCATCCCAGCTACTTGGGAACCTGAGGCAGGAAGACCACATGCTCAAGGCCAGCCTGAGCAATTTAGCAAGACCCAGTTTTGAAATTTAAAAAAAAGAACTAGTGTTGTAGCTCAGTGGTCAAGCACCCCTGGGTTCAAACCCTCAGTGCCACAGTACATACATACATACTTACATCCAAGTGAGGTTTATTCAGAGAATACTGAATTATCTTAGGGGTTCAAAAACCAACCAATCAGTGCAATCCATCTTATTAACATGATAAAGGAAAAGGCATCATGATCATGTTAATACATTCCAAGCCTTTAAAAAATAAACCCTTTCTTGCTTAAAACTCAGCAAAGTAGAAATAGAAGAGAATTTTCTCAATCTGCTAAAGAGCATTTACAGAAGTTTAAAGGGAGGCTGGGGAGAGATTGCTTGGTGGTACAGCATATGCTTAGCATGCATGAGGCCCTGGGTTCAATCCCCCGCACCACCAAAAAAGTAAAGGTAGCATCATTCTGCATCTTAAGATTAGGAACAGGTAAATAAGTAAATGGTGCCATAGTCATAGAGTACAATAAATAAAGCTTCACAATAAACAGGAACTACTGATATGCAAACAGCATGCATCTCAAGAACTTAGTGCTGAATGAAAGAAGGCAAATACAAAAGAATACATAATGTATGATTTTATTTATTTGAATTTCTAAACTAGCTGAAACAAGGTGGGAAATGTAAGAACTGTTTCTATAGGGAAGCAGGGAGAAAGGATGGACTGGAAAGAGACAAAGAAATAATCAAAATTGCATGGCTAAGATTTATACATCTTAATGTATGAAATTTTTTTCTCTATAGCTATAAATAATAACAGAGGGAAACAGGGTAAAAATATAGATGAACCAACAATGATGAATGTATCAATAATCACTGAAGCTGAATAATGATTATAGAGTGGTCTGTTAGAGAATTCTGTTCACTTCATGTTTGAAATCTACATAATAAGACTGAAAAAAAGGTGGGACAGTAAGGGAAAAATGTTTGCCTGTTGACCTTGGTACTGTATATCATTTGGCTGTCAATTCTACAAAATAAAAATTAGGACAAATATAAAGCTTTTCAACTTTCCCCTAAATTGACTGGGCAAGAGACTTAGCGGCCTGAAGATAAGCCATTTACCCAACAGGGGCATGATAAAAGTACCTGAATTTGTGGCAGATAATTTGGGTTGTAATTGCAGCAGTTTTCAAACTTTTAACAAAGAAATCACCTACAGGAAAAATAAGGGAAGATTTATCTACTGATTTATTTAAATCCGTATTTTGGGATTTTTGTCTACATCTGATTATTTTTATTTTTAAATCCTTTTTTAAAAATTTGCTTTCCATATGAAGACTGGTACAAATGACTCTGAAAGGTATGTAGGTTTTTTAATGTATTTAATTTCAAGGCACCAGCATCAATTTTATAATTAATATAAATATAAGTATTTTAATGTTTTATAAATGGATAAAGGAAGAAAGAACATGTATATAATATAAATAGCTTTTTGTATACTATATACTAAGAATGTGGCCATTATCATTGATAGAAAAAGCAACTTATGAATAAAGGACAGAATAACTGTGACATTTTTAAGACTACTACCTTTAGAACGTATATGTATTAAGTAAGCTACCTTTCCTAGGAGGAAATTGTAAATAAGGTTAATACTTTTCTTATCTGTTTTCTCCTCTGATTCTTACATGGCCTAAGAAAAAAGGATGGTCATAGCTATGCAGAACATGTTTAATGTGTAACAAACAAATTAGTATATTTATAATAACAACTTAGCATCTGTTTTCAAGTTATTTTGAAAAATCCAATAGATACATATATAAACTCAGGTTTGCAATCTTTTTAGCTGCAGAAGATCATAAGTAAACAAGATGACTTCAAGATAATGAAAACTAATGAAACAGAATGTCAGGTATGTACACATTACTAAGTATTCCATACAGGATATTTTCAGTATCTTCTCTGTTCTGTTTGTTCAACTAAGTATTCCCAGGTAATCGGTCACCTTCATTAATAACTTCATATTTTAAATAGATGTACAATATTCACATAGTCCTAACTTCAAAGGGTGCACAAAAGTAAGTAGACAAAGCAAAATGTTCCCCTCCATTCCCCAGTCCTCTTCCCAGCATGCTATCAGTTTTCTGTGTGTTCTTCCAGAGATAGATCTTATGAATATGTAAGCATTTTTGTAAATAAGTACATCTATATTCTGTTTTCTATAAGTAGTAGTATACTATGCATTGCTCTGCTTTTCTTTTTTTCCCTGAACAAATTAGAATACCTCATGCTTTTTAATGGTTCTGTAGTACTTTGTTTATGGAGATAGCAGTTTATGTAACCATTCCCTTTTTGAAAGCCATTTAGTATGTATCTATCTTTTTTTTTTTTTTTTTTTTTTAAATAGGATCAGGGTTTCATTGCTATGTCATTCGGGCTGATCTTGAACTCACTACGTTTCCTAGGATGGCCTGAAACTTGTAGCAATCCTCCTGCCACAGCCTCTCAAGTGCTGGGATTACAGGCATGCAGCACCACACCCAGCCATAGATGCATCTTTTCATATTACAAGTAATGCTACATTGAATAGTCCTGTATTTATACCATCCTATAAATAATGATCAAAATATAAGGTGAATGTTTAAATATTTTTAAATTTATTATGATAAAAGACACATTGCCCTTAATCCCTCTCAGAACACTCCTCCTCAATTCAAACACATTTACCCCATTGTTCTTACCATTTTACGAAGCAATTCTGGAATTCCTCTTTCATGAGTGTCTATAAGATGTATTCAAAAATACAGTGAATGCTGCTACTGTGTGCCATCCAGTGGAAAGGCAGGATTGTGAAAACATGATGCCATGCCCTCACCCACCTTATTCACTGGATCTAGCAGCATGTCATTGCTCTTCCCCAAAGCCAAAATGACCATGAGAGGTTTTTGAATCAATTCAGAATATCAAGGCAGCCACCGTAGCACAATTAAAGACATAGGGTCATACTTCATGCCTGAATATATCTGAGGGATGACTTCCCAGAAATTCTATTGCTAGTCAAAAGTCATGAATATAATGTCATTGACAGACTTTGATAAATATTACCCAATATATTTTCTTACAATATAAACTGGTTTTCATTCCTATGGGTAATGCATATCAGTACATTTTCAATTAATAATCTTTCAATTAATTATAATTTTACCTTATGCTTTCTATGAGATTTTCTTAAATTTCCAAATTGTTTCATCTTTTCAAGGATGTCTGCTTCAAAATTTGCAAATTAATAAAATCACAGTTCCCTTTAACATTTTGTTCCCTTCAAGTAGTCTTACTGCTATTCAGGCAGTCCTTAACTGCTATTTCCTTTTCCTAGAACATACCCTGTGCATTCTTACAGTACCTTCTATGTCCCTAGTCATAACAGTTTATATAGCACATGTTAATATAATTGTTTTGTGACTTCCTCTATAATGAAAATGTCACACATCTCCCTTAACTCATTCCAAGTTATGTTCATGGTACAATTTATTACAGTGAGTGGATACAGATTTAAAATCAGACAAGGAAGAGACTCATGGAATTCCAGAAAATCCCACAGATAGAGGTTTCAGTAATCTTCTCCAAGAAGAGATGTGACAGAGCTAACTTGTGGGCAGCGGTGTTTAACAGTATACACAGAGTGGTGACAACTAGGGAAGCCCCCCTAGACGTTGATGTCTAGAGGTTTTACTGGGGTCAGCTACATAAACCTAGTTGACTGCCCAGGTACCTGATCTTAGTCTCCCCTTGGCCCCAAACCCTCACCCTGAATCTCACTGTTGGGCTCTCTGTTATGGCCCATACCCCCAGGTAAACAAAGACTTCTCTTATGGATCACCCACAGCCAGGTCCGTGTTTGATAGCTTTTTACTATTCGTTGTATCTGTGTGGGTGGGTAAAGTTGCAGGCATACACCAAATGCTGTTAGTATTTTTTAGTGAATGAAAAAAAAATCTAGTCATGTGGGTACAACATAATTAACCATGCCCTGTTATTGGTTAAGATTATTTCCAAATATTTGCTGTTAGAACTGTCCTGTGACAATAAATATCTAAATATGTATATTTAGGATAGAGTTCTGAAAGTTAGATACTTAATTTAAAAGGCATGAATATTTTTAAGGCTTTGGATATATGTTGCCAAATTCCTTTCTGGAAAAGTTATAACAATTTACAGTCCAGCATTGAATGAGCATACCCATTTCTCAGCAGTCTTTCCAGCAGTCAGTCTCTGTTTTGTCTTTAATCTGTAAACAATTTGATTTGGTATTACAGATATACTTTTTATGACAGTTATCTACACCACTTATATTTCTTATTTTATAAAATTTTGTTTCTGTTTTGGGGGAATTTTCTTAGGTTTTTTATTTTGTATATGCTTTTGTATGCTGTATTTAAGAATATTAACACAGTGGGGCATGGTTAGCACATGCCTATAATCCCAACACTCTGAGAGGCTAAGGCAGGAGGATCACAAATGTAAGCCCATCTTGGGCAATTTAGCAAGACTCTCAAAATTTTAAAAAGGGGTGGGGTTGTAGCTTAGTGGGAAGGATCTGAATTCAATACCCACTACCAAAAAAAAAAAGAATCTGTAATGTAGAATTCATTGCTTTCTTCCTATTAGCCAAGATCCAATTGAAGTTGTGTATAGTACTAGTGAAGCCCTCTGACGGCCACCAGAAAATGTGTCTAACCTCTTGTGCTAACCTCCTTTCTCCTGCCCCCACCTTGTCTGTTTAGCACCTTGCCTACACTAGTCTTCTGAAACTCACCACCCCACTGCAGGAGGCAGCACACACACCCTGCTGGTAGACATGTGTGAGGCTGGGAGCACGGTCACACTTAGGGCCCCCTTTCAGTCTCTTGTTTGGATTCCCACCCCTGCCCATGGGTGCAGGCTCTTGGAGCCAAGATGTTCAGGTCTGTGGATTGGTTAGGGTCTCTGCCTTACAATCAGCACAGTGTGGGACGTGAGGAGAGTTCAGACAGCCTCCACCACTGTGTCACCTCCTCAGACATTCTCCACACATCTGGCTGTCTGCCCATCTGCTGCTTCCTCCAGGCGGGCCTGCAGCCTCAGATAGTAGAGCCACTGAGTACCGATCTGCCACTCTCGTGAAGTGAGCCCTGTCTGTCCGCTGCAGGGAAGCCACATTTTGGTTGGTCTCCCCTTCTGGAGCACTCAAGTGGTTGTTCTTAGTCCATTTTTTCCAGCTAGTTGGTTTCTGGAGAGAGGATTTGGCGACCACATTCCATCATGTGGGAGGTCAGAAGGCAGTTACCATATTTTTACTGGCCAGTAGGTTTAGATTGGCTTTTTTTTTTTTTTTTTTTTTTTGTACCAGGGATCAAACTCGGGTCCTTGCGCTTGCGAGGTATAGATTGGCTTTTAATAAACATGGTTAGTAAGTTCCCAAAACAAATGTTTTAAGTAAACCACATGTTTAATATAGTATAAAATTGTCCCTTGAAAAATAAATTCCAGGGCTGGGGGTTTAGCTCAGTGGTTTTGCCTCCTGCTTTGTAAGCGCAAGGACCCAAGTTCGATCCCCGGTAACAAAAAATAAAAATAAAAATAAATTCCATACCAGAAAGAAAAGGTTAATATTTTTAAGAATCTACATAAAGAAAACTATAACTATATTTTTTTATTGAGAAACATACAACTGAAATAAATGTGAAGACAGGCTTTATTCTTAGGAATAGGGAGCACTGTAAAGAGGTTATTTCCCATTAAATTAATCTATGAATTCAGTGTAATCCAAGTCAGAACTCACGGTTTGTTTTGGTTTTGTTTGGGGGGGGCGGGGTTTTGGCAAACAGTGAACAAGAAAGAAGTGGGTGTGGGCAAGAGATATACTGAACCCTGGCAGAATACTTCTAAAGTTAACCTAGAAGAATAAACATAAGAGAATAACCAGAAAGATTCTGAAAAAAGCACTAGTAATGAGAAGGACTTACGCAAATACAGAGGTATCGTGAGAAATGGAGCAGCCAAAATGTTGACCCAAACCCATAGGGCTATTAGTGTATATAATATAAGTAGCAGTTTAAATCAGTGGGAAAACATATCCAATTCCTTGTTAGTAATCCAGATACATAGAAGTCTTCCTAGGTGTGACATTTTACTTCTCACATACAATTAGTCATGGAGTACTGTCTCTTGTACCTCTTACATATTTCCCACATCCATCCTTTTTATTTTCTATTTCCACTCACTTGAGGAAGTCGCTGTCATTTCTCACATTAGCTTCTGTGTTAGCCTCCTGACCTTCCAGCTTCCACTCTTTTTCTAATTTGTCACATTGTATCCAGAAGTGCTATAAGCACAGATGTGATGTAACTATCTCCTTATATTCTTCCACAGAACATACGTATCAGAATGTTATGTAGTATCCATAAATTTGTACAATTTTTAGTCACTTAATAAGTAAAAAATGATAAGTTGCAAATACATAGTAAAAGTTTTTTTCACATTTCCCTTTGCACTTGGGATAAATTCAGAAATCCTCATAAGCCCAGATCGCCTGGTCCTGGCTCTTCTCCAGCTTCCTGCTCCACCACTTTTAACTGCAGCAGAACATGGTGGTTAAGAACCCAAGACTCAGAAGGGGATTTCATCGGTTCTAATGCTGCTTTCTTCATTTAATAGCTGTGTGACCTTTAGGCACACCTCTCTATCAGTCTGCCTCACTGGGAAATGTGGGGGTTAAGTGAGTGACTACCTTGCAATCACCTTGAACTATACATAATACTCTATAGTATCTAAGTACTTGCGCCTATAATCCTAGTAGTCTGGGAGGCTGAGGCAGGAGGATCATAAGTTTGAGCCCAGCCTAGGCAATTTAGCAACTTAGCAAGAACCTGT